GAATCTTTCAAATGTACGCAAATTTTTAAACTGGAACGGCCCGTTCTAAAATCGAAACGGCCCATTCCCAAAAAGCAGAACGTCCCGTTCTAAAATCAGAACGGCCCGTTCCGAGACTCATCCAGAACGGCACGTTCTCCTTCCGGAACGGCCCGTTGAGAAATCAATCTAGCTTATGATAGGTATTGTTTCTAGATTTGTGCTAGTTGTTGATTTCTACCTTAGTGTCAGTTGTTGTTTCTAGTTGTATGTCAACCATTGTGATTCAATAGGGTTTAGCCACTTAAAATTGTTCACCCTATGTTGTAGGAGATCTTTGTAGTTGATATGCATGATGATACACTAGATGTGATGTATATGTTGATATATGATGAATATGTTGTAAGATGTTGAGCTATTGTGATGATGATATTATTCTGTTGCAAGTTGAGATATTTTGCTATGATAATGTTATTTATAAGTTGTTATGTTGTATTCTTTTCACAAGCTTACCCTGTGTTTTTCTCATGGTTGAAACTGCAAAGATCATACTTGGTATGGTAACAAGATAGGATTAGTGGGATAATTTTTGCAGTTAGAGGACAATCACGCTGGAGATGGTTAGTTTTGTTGCTAACAACTCTGATGTTGTCATGTATTGTACAAATATCGACCAACAACTAGATTTATTTTACTCTTAGTACTATATGTTGTATATAATATGTATGTGTAGAATACTAGTTATTGACTGTATTATAAATTCTTATTCTGATGCATGTTTTTAGTCTTTGGTCATGAGATAGTTGTCTAATAACAAGTATAACGACCTGTTTATTCATTACATATTTTAAATATTAAAATTTAATTAATAAATAGTTATAATAAATAAAAAAATAAAATATATAAAAAGCTAAAAAAATTCTAATTATATAAATACAGGCAAGATACCTTTCGTGTTTAATATTGAGAAATGAATTATAAATTTTAATTGTAGAAATGATATTTATTATATAATTTTTGTTTTCTTTTAAATGACAAATAAAAAATAACCCAAGCTAGGGTTCATGTCCTGGTTCTGGTATTCATAGCTAGCGCGCTGCGAGAAACAACACTGCCGCAACGCAACCGTTAGCAAACACACGAACACTGTGTGACCTTTCGTCGAACACTTGGAAGGCACAATGGGAGGGAGGAAGAAGAAGTTCATCGACAAGAAGAACTCTGCTACCTTCCAACTCATCGCTCGCGACTCCTCCGACCCTTCCTTCTCCCACTCCGATCGCGTCTTCGTCCGCGTCGACAACAACCCTGTCTCCATCCCCGTCGCTGCCGACTCCATTTACGAAGACGCCCCTGACGACGGCGACGACGACGACGACGAATACGGCGCCGGACTCGACGGCGGTCCGCTGCCGGAGGACGTCAGGCGCGAGATTCTCGAGCTAGGGTTTCCGGATGATGGCTACAACTACTTGAGTCACTTAAGGGAAATCAAGAACACTGGCGCTGGTTCTTCCTTCTTTCACAACCCCAAGTTCAAGCTTCAGCACCTCCCTCGAGATGTTAAGGTGCTCCCTCCTTTTATCTTTTAATCTGAATTTTGTTGTTTTTTAGATGGAACAGTTTTTTTTTTTGGAGTTTTTTTTTACTGATTCATAAGCGTGTTAATAATAGTAGAACAATGTTTTCAGAACCTAAGTGATTTTTGTTTCGTTGAGTTAGTTAGTGTTTGAACTGTGAGGAGGATGGATTGAAGGGATGATTAAATAGCTTGGTTATATGTTGAATTGGGAATTGATTAATTATGTTTTTTTGTTGATGGTGAGTTTAGGCGTATGATGCTTCGAGGTTGCAAATTTCTCACCTCTTGGTCTTCTTGGCCTTAGTGTGATTCCATCATAGAGTGAGCGCGCCAGGAGTGAAGTCTCTGTTTTGAGTTTGCGTCGGGCGTGATCTGAATGCGCTAGGCGTGAGGTTTATTTGAAGAAAATCTTTTATAATTAAGTTTTTATGGAACTTTTAAATGTTGAATCATATCATCTTTTGATTTCATATGTTTGGTATGGAATGTTGGCATGATTATGGAAAAGTTTGCATGTAATTATGGAATATGCTATGTGTGTTTGGTTTGGAAAGCTAATAGGACTTAGAGGAGTAAGGTTATGGTATGGATTGAGAAATCTCTTAGTGAGATCTGGATATAATCTTTGGGAAAATATGGAATTTGGGAGTCCCATGGTGAGGATTCCAATATGGAACTTTTCCAAAGATTGTATAATAAACCACTTCAGATGTTAGGTGGATTTTGAAGTACTCCTCTAAGCATTCTATTTGCTACCAGTATGGGGATAGGGCCGAGTCATATCGATGGATGAAGTGACCAAGATCACCAGGGTTACATGACGATGTAATCCAACTATATATTTTCCATGAGAGGTTAGGTGTGTGACATGGGCAGGTGACATGTTCACAAATTCAACACTTGGTGTGTGAGACCCGTGGACCCTCCCTCTCCTTTCTCTTTTCTCTTTCTCACTCACATCTCTTTACTCACTCTTTTGCATTGGATCTTTCTTCTTGACTGTCACAAGGTGGTGGTGCGGAGTGAGTTGGGTTTCTGCTAGCTGGGTGTTTGAAGTTCTCTCTTCTCCTTCAGTGTTCGTTCAAGCTCTTCTTCAATCTTCTTCTCCTTTCTCCTTTCCAGAAGCTCGGATTTTTGCACCGAGGTAAGGGAAACTAGGTCTTTAGCTGTTTGGGTTGAAAATGAGTTCCTAAACTCATGGTGTAGCTGATTTTATGTTGATTGATGAGCTGTTGTCGTGAAAATTTAATTTTTGGGTTTTCGGGGTTTCGGAAAAATTTGGGATTTTTCTTAATTGTGGTTGCATGTTGAAAAAGATGATGTTTTTGAACTCTTTGATGAAAATGTGAACTATTGGATGGTTTGCATGTGGATTTCCTGGCTGTTTTTATAGATTTTTGAAGAGATTTTCGAACTTGGTGAGTTGCTACTGGGTATCACGCCGGGTGCAGTTCTTCGCGCTGAGTGCGTGACCACCAGAGGGCTCCATTTGGGCAAGCCCACTGGGCGCAAAGATGTGTGCACCAGGCGAGCTTAAGAATGTGAGCCTCTGGATGGCCCACGCCGGGCGTGGTGGCACAACACTAGGCGCAATATCAGTGGGTGACTTATGTTTTGTGGTTCTAGTTTGGCGTCGGGCGTGACTTTGTCTCACCAGGCGTAGAGACTCCTTGTGGCGCGGGCGCAATTTATATTGCGCCGGGCGTGAGACCCTGGGGAGGTCTCTGCTTTTTTGTGCCGAGCGCGGGATGAGCACGCTAGGCTTATGAGACCTTTTGAGGTCTCTGCCTCCCATCACGCCAGGTGCAATAAGAATTACGCTGGGCGCGCTAGTTCCCTGGTGCTCTCTGGTTGTGCCCCGCCGGGCGCGACTATGAGTGCGCCGGGCGCGTATATGATGTTGCCTTATATGTTGTCTTATGTTGAGGTGTGTTGATTATTTGCTGAAATTTGCTGATAGATGTTGGTTTAGGCTGAGCTGGGCTGTTATTGATGTCTATATTGTGTTGTGTTGTGTTGTGCTGTCAATTGTGTTAGTTGGACTGTGAATTGTTGGATGATGTTGTTATTGCCGCTATGCGATGCTGTTATTGCCGCTATGCGATGCTGTTATTGTCGCTATGCAGTGCTGTTATTGTTGCTATGCAGTGATGTGCTTCGTGCTGATAGGAGCTGTTTGATGTTGTGTATTTTACTCGTATTTTAGCACTTT